TAAACGAACAATAAAAAAATATTAAAATTCAAAAAATCTATTTAGATAGCAAAAAACAACCATAAAACACAAAATCTAAATAGCTGAAAAGCAATCTTATACGTGGTCATGATAAAAAAAATCTCATATTTGCCAAGTATTTTGTTCGTTAAATAAAGCGTCGATTAAAAGCTGTTGGTGCGAACAATCATATTATAAACTTCACATTAAATTTATCTAAAGCTTAGTTAACGAATACTTTTATGTGGTACCCCTTAAAGACCTAAAAGTTTAATGTAATGCAGATAGTAAACCAAAACATACATTGAAAATTTATTTTTAGTTGCAACTCCAGTGTAAAGAAAGTTAAAAACAAGAATGAAGGATATAAACATAACTCTGTAACAATAAAACGGAAATGTGTTTAATCGAAATCATCTGATGAAATGTTGCTATCACCCAGAGCTGTCACAATTACCATTGCAAAGTAATTGAAGTACCTATTACCAGGCAACCAAAAAACTATGCAAATTATTAATTACTTTAGTTTTTTAAAAGAGCTTTCAATTATCAATTACTCATAAAAGGAATTGAAAATGTTCAATTATAATTCAATTGCTTTTGCTAGTAATTCAATTACTTTATCTGCGTCAAATACCTTTAAAGTAATTGAATTATTCCATTTAATTGAATTACCGATGAGTTATTAAATTACCGAAAAATAATTAAAAATTTTTCATCAATTAATTTATTAAAGGCCTATGTTAATCTTAAGAATATTATAATATTACAAAAACAATGATGGTTTACAACAGCGTAATTTCTTGATCAATTATTTAAAAAGAAAAACGTCTTTTACATATTTAATGGTGTTTACCAGTTGCTCGAAGTGAATATCAGATAAAGCATGTCTCCTTGAGCATTAATGATTTCTGCAAGTGTTTAATTTAAAAAATAAATAACTCATGACAGAGTAATTATTTAGAGCAGTAATTTCTGCGTTTGGATCATTAAAGTGTTGTAAAATTTCCAATTCAACTTTTTTTTTTTTTTTTTTTTTTTTTTTTTAATTTGGTGTCATCGGCGTCGACTACTACGGCCATTAGCCTCGTGTTCTGTGTAGGCTTTGTTACTGTTTCCCAGCGCCACTTTAGGAACAGCACTGTTAATTAGAACCCAACAGTGAATGGTCGAGTGGGGAATCCTACCAAGGCATCAGAATTAATTTTAAATATTTAAATTAAATGAAAAAATCCCGGCCAACGGTGGGATTCGAACCTGAGACCTTCCGATCTCAAAGTCATGACTCTAACCACTGAGCCACCCCCCTTTTTTCTTATTACTGCTAGATTTCGTTGTTGCAGCTGGTGAATTTTCTAGTTCAAAGAAATCATCTAATTTTGTTTGGTTGGTCTCTTATTGAAGCGTGTTTTCCATATAAGTTTTTCTTTGGTGCTGCTCCAGAGCGATCCAAAAATAAACAATGTCCAATAACGTCCACAAAGACTTCAAAAAACTCAAAAAATGCAGTGAAAAGCGCACGTCGATATCTTTTCAATTTAGAATAATTATAAATTTGCTACAGTGCTACTTTATAGTAGGACACCTTGTATGCTAGGATACTTAATTTTGGTGTATGTATTTTAAAACTTTTGCTGAAATAATCCTAGTAATTTAAACTCGTATGTTTTTAATAACTTATTTATCCATGAAAAATCATTATTTACCTCCGTACGCCCATGAACGGTAGCCGCTTTACAAATGATTCACCGAAATGCACTCCTGGACAATTCCACCGGCAAGTCTCGCATAATTACGTATGAATTAAATGCACATTTTAATTTTACATCTAGAAATCATAATATTAATTTCATCGATATTTTTTATCTAACACATCCTTTAAAGATGAGATAAATTTAATAACTTTCTACACTCCAGGAGTTGATTAAGAATTGAATAATTCAAGCTGCATACAAATATATTCAAAAATAAAAAAGTTACGCCAAAACTAGTGAAAACTGCATTATATAAGTCTCTTAATATTCATAAAAGTCAACAAATAAACAGAGCAGTAACGCACTACAGTTTTCTACAATTTTTAAATGGGAATTGAATATTTTGTGGTAATTGAAATACAATAAATGAATTGAATTACTCCAAAGTACTTGAATTACTACAAAGGAATTGAATTGTTCAAAAAATAATTCAATTAATCAAATATCTTTAAAGTAATTACCAATTACAATTACTTTCTAGAAAGTAATTGAAGTACTAATTAATTCTAAGGTTTCAAATCCTAATTGAATTAAGGTAATTACTGAAAAGTAATTTAATTACATTTTCAACTCTTTTAATTCAATTATTTGACAGCTCTGTATCACCATTAATGGAAATGATTGGTGGTTCTATTAAATTATCTATTATTCCATCTAATGTATACATTTTAATTTCTTTATTAAATGTTGCTCACACTTTTTCCAAATTATATCTGTGACATTGTCGAGTGCCTCTATTAAAAGAGCTATAATTTCTTTTATTATCGGGTGTAACTCAGTGGTAAACCTTAATACAATTTTATTTCCATTTTGGCCATTTCATCTATTACATAAAAATTGTATTTGTCCTTGTGTTTTAATTAAATCTATGAGATCTAATCGGTTGATTCAATCTTCAAAATTATTTTTTTAACCATGTCTATACATCAATTTTTTCGAAGATTTTATTGGAAATTTCTTTTTTTTCTGACTTTGATATGAGGCATTGATAATTTACAATGACTTCATCATCAATAATAGGTAAAGAATAAAACACAAAATAAGTACATTTAAAAGTTTAAAATTTATCAACATCACTATGTCAAGTATGAATACATAAATGTCACTAGACATTTTGGTCTATGTGAACTTGCCTGTCAAATAACAAATAACCTTTTAGGAGCGGAAAATTCAAATCGTTCCTCCTAGTTTAAAAACAGAGCATAGAAATAATAAAATAGCGTCTATTGTAGAATGTCTCCTTCTAAAATCATATCAGAAAGTTGTATGTTGTAATTGTAAGCATAACATTAGGTTATTATACAAGATGAAATGATCATGGGGAAATCCTAGAATGAGATAAATATTGTCCAAAAAATATGACTCAGACTTCAAAATGTACATTTTCAATAGCAGGACTATAGATGCTCAAACAAACAAATATACAACTTCATTGTAAGTATATTACTAAATTGCAAAACCTAAACTCTGATAAGCAAGGATCGAAAAAAATGCAGTTTGCATTTTTAGCATTTTTTTTCCACAAATTAAGAAATGTTGCATTCATTTTCTATTTTCAAAAAGTTCATTGTGGATCAACATGTAAAAACATCAAAACACATTGCAGCATTGCGAAAATTGCAAGAAGGCGCAAGACCACAGCAAACTTTAAAAAATTGTGTTCAACAAAGTTCGCAGAAAAACAACCAAATGCAGTTTAACGAAGATTTATGCAAAGCAATGATTTCAGCAGATATACCCTTAAATAAATAATGTAAATTTAAAGTAATTTTTGCAAAATTATTGCAAGTTCAATGTACCAGATGAATCTACACTAAGAAAAAAGCAGGTCGATTGTTTATATAAAGACACAATGGTGTGTATAAAAAATATATCTGATAACAACTTTTATATTGTAATTGATGAAACAACGATTCTCTTTATTAATTGGAGTTTTACAAGAAGATAAACCAGGGAAAGCACACCTCATATCATCCAAGCACCTTGAAAAAACAAACAATTTAACTGTGACTAGATTTGTACAGGATTCACTTGTCCGTTCTAGTAAATTTATACTTTTATTGTCGGACGCTGTTCCTTATATGATTAAAGTGGCAATTTTAAAAAATTTTGTATGAGCACCTTATCCATGTAACGTGTGTGGCTCACGGTATTAATAGAGTTGCAGAATGTATTAGATCTCAGTTTTCAATCGTTCATAATTTGATAAGTAACATTAAAAAAGTTTTTCTTAAATCTTCATTAAGAATCCAGTTTTATAAAGAAAATCTTCCAGATATCCCTCTACTACCAAAACCAATAATAACCCAGTGGGGTACATGGCTTGATGCAGCTTTATTTTATGCAGAACATTATGAATCAATAAAAAAAGGTAATTCTTGATTTAACAGATTCTTTTTCAGATCCTCTTTCAAAGTCTAAAGAGTTATTTAAAAATGAACAACTACTACATCAACTTGTTTACATAAAATCAAATTATTCCTTTGTGTCAAAAGTCCTTCTGTAATTACAAAATACATCTGTATATTTAGTTAAAGCTGTTGAATTAAGAGATAATGTGGAGAAAGCATTTAAAAAAGTTCAAGGAAAAATAGGAAAAATTATTTTAAATAAATATTATGCTGTACTAGAAAAATATTAGGGGTTTCAAATTTTAAAAAAAGTTTTGAAACTATTGTCGGGAGACTTTGAGTCAAACACGGGAATCAATTTAAATATTTTACCCCATTTTAATTATGCCCCTATTACATCTGTAGACGTAGAACGCAGCTTTTGGATTTATAAACATGTATAGGGATAAAAGACAAAACTTTTTTGTCGAAAATTTTGAAAAATGTCTAGTTGTCAATGCCGTTAACAATTTCAATAAATAGGAATATGTATTTGTTAATATACTATGTTCTTATGTATGCTAGTGTTTAGATAAGTATTATGTAATTTTAGGTGCCTATTCAAGAAAATAAAGTATGTACTTAAAAACTAACTATTATTTTATTTAAATGTGATTGTACCCTATGTCACACAAATATAGAGTGAGGATTATTATTTTTCGTAAATACTTTTGCATATTTTTTGTAAATCAATTGCATTAAAATGCGCATTTTTTTATATTTTTTGTTGCATTTTTTCCAGTCCTTACTGATAAGCCTAATGTAAACATTTAATGAGTTTTTACGATTGTATTGTTTTATATTAGAATATTCCTACTAATAAAGATTCATTCATTTTAAATAAATATTTTAATACCTATTCCAGCTCCTGCAGTGTTACTTTGTTTTAGCACTTCTTCACACTTCTGTGAATCTCCATTAGCAGCTGATTTTACTAACTCTTCATTTACGTCACCGGAAACGTGAGTTTCAAACAGCTTTTTAAGTAAGGCACTTAATCGCTCTCCAGATGTAGTTCCATGCATGGTGCCATCTTTGCTTGCCAATTTGGTAACGGCCAATGGATTGTAGGTCCAAGTGGTGTTGCAAACTTCCACTTTGAGGTCATTATCGTTGTAAATTTGTTGGACGTGGCCAACTTTTCCAAGAGTCTAAAAAAAATAATTTTGTGTAAGTATTAGAGGCTTGACAAAAAAACATTAAATAATTTATCTGTCCTGGATGTAAATATCTTACAAATTATCAATATTGCATCTAAACAATAATTCTATATTTCAAAATCAAACTAGGTTAAGTCCAAAAAGATGATTTTACAGCAGAGAGGTTTTAAATTTTTAATATTATAGAATTGAATGCACACCCAATATTTATAATAATTTGTTAAAACTTTAAATATGTATATCTTTTGTGATTAAAAAAAGACAGTAAAGTGAAAATTTAATCTATAGCTAGTTTTTCTTCTATTGTGACTTAACTTCTGATATACAGAATTTAAGTTTGTTACTAATAAATATTTGTATGCCATATGGGTGAAACTCCTGTTGGGAAAGTCCGAATACAATGGTGTAATCATAAAAAAATAATGTTCTAGAGTTTGAAACAGTTTTTGATGAATAACAGTATCAATTGATTTTACAAGATCGACAAAAATGCACAATGATGGTGGTTTTTCATTTATAAAATTGTTAATTTTGTCAATCTAAGATGAGTTTGGATTTCTAACGAATCACAAAACAGTAAAATTAATTATATTTTTAAACATATCCTACACAGTTAGAGAAATGTCCCCAAGGTTTAAGAAAAAGATAGATATTCTCGTACCGCAAGAAGTAACATCAGACCAACGTAGATGGACCAGATTTTTTATGACTGTACATTGTGGTCTCGACGACATTAAATTATACTTTAAATAGTTCTATGAATAAAATACTTGCAATCTAAATTTAAAAAATATTTCTTAACGTAACTTCAGTAATAAATACTCACAAGAGCAACATATTTAATAAGGATATGGTGATAAATAGTTCACACCTACAGGATGTTAAGGATATTAACATCCGCATAATTTTATCATGTAATTTCAACTGGGCAAAATGCTTATACAGTTGTTAAATAGTTGCTATATATGAATATCTCAATTTTTAAATAATGTAGTTTAACAAACTTTCTAAAAATTTGACATTTTTTTACACAGACTTAATATTATTATTGGCTATTAAGATCCTGTGATGTCAAAAAACGGACATTTATCAAATATACAAAGTTTAACATGAATTTAGTCAAAGCTGAATTTAATGCTTACAGCTGCCATTCCATCAGCCCAATCTCCATGGCCTCTTTGTAACATCTTTACTCTTTCCATGTCAGAACAGATTTGAACCACATCTCCGACTGCAAACTGTTGTTGAGGAGTCTCATTGAATCCACCCGAATTTGTTGGAGTTGCAACTTTGGTCAAGACAGCAGGATTAAAAGTCCACCTTTAATGACAAAAATATAAATAATGAGTAAATTTTGATCAACATACTAAAATGAACATGTATATTACAAAGAATAATTAATTCACTCACCTGTTACCACTATTATAGGCCACAACAATGTCATGATCTTCGTCAATTCCTACTACAGTACCAATGCTATTTAAACATTCAAACATACCATCAGTCCAACCACCATGGCCATGTTGCAGTGATTGAACTATTTCCAATTCCAAATCTACGTTAACCTGAAATACAATTTCAAAGATTTTTATAACCCTTACACTCCCAAAACCAAGGCAGTTGAAAAATTAAGTTGCTTAACATCTAATTTAACTTCTTTGAAGGCTTAGAGACATGCTAATTTTTTTCAGAATTTTACTATGTCACTATGAGTTTTTATGGACAATTGTGTTCTTCAGGAGTAAACTTATGACCCCCACAAATGTGGAGACACATGAGTGAGCTTTGGAAGTGGACATGAAATACCTGCACAATTTTATTTTTTTACTTTAGAAAAACATTACAAAATTATTTTTTTACAAATAATTCATTTAATATTTTGGTAGTCACAAATATCTTAGAAAGTCAATCCATAACTTTTATTATTTATGAATGTCAGTAAAATTACAATGTCTTAAACTATTACTGAAAATTACACTAGTTTTAGGAGAACTTTGTGCTCATGGAATTTTAATTACAAGGTCAAAAATTATAACATATATAAACTTCAGGAGCGGGGGCCTTTTACCTTCAAGATTATCATTAATGACATATTTTTTCCAGTCAGAATTAAAAAAAAACTGTACCTGATCCCCAATTTTCAACCCTGGTGGAGCATTTCTTCCAGGTCCATGTTCCCCTAAACAAGGTAGATGATCTCGATACACATTCTGACCTTTTGCATCATTTACCACTTTCAAATCTGCCATTCCTTCAAAACCAACTCTATACAAGTTTTTAGATCCATTATCCCAGACAATGTAAGCAGCTGATCTGGGACTAGCTGCTGACCAATCTTGAATCTCTTGGACCTTAAATATAAAATTGATTAAAACCATGGTTCAAACTAAAAATAAATAACTAATATGCAGCCAATAAGTAAATTAGTTTAGAATTTCTTTGATTTTTTTTTTGTGTAAAAGTTTAGTTTCTTTTTTATTATTAATTTTAAATTAATGTTAATAAATGTTCATGATTAGCAAAAACACTTGTTTCTCTTCAATCATTTGACAAGGAACTGTGCAAGCAAATTACTAGGATTCAACAGGTGGTGTATTTTAAAATATTCTAGTTGGAAGGTTATATTGTAAATTTGTGGTTACTTACTATTAAAAAAATAATATTGATTATTTTCATTAATCTGACTGTATTCTGAATCGAGTAAGAACGTGAAAATTTATGTTTACTTACTTTTTTTTTACATAAATTTATGTAAAAGATTTATTACTGAAATGTCATAAGTTGCATACATAATTTGATAGGTATGGACCCAGTGAGCCATAAGAAATTAAAAAATATATCAAAAAAGTGGCAACATTGTTTTAATATAGCAGTTTTCTTGCGACATCTATTTAAAAACTAATGTGCTATGAAATTACAGGAATTCATAGAATATCTCTATTTTGACAAATTAATATTTTTCTTTTAATTTAATAAAGAAACAGAACACATAAAAAGTATGAGATTCTTTCTTTAAACCTTATACTTTAACCTATCACAAGATTTATTTTATTATCTACCTTTCCACGTCGTCCATTTCCACCATCTTGATCTTCCCACTGCCAGTCAACACCACGTACAACTCGTGCACCTGGAAATATTCCCCGAATAGCGATTTTTTTTGTTTTTCGCCGGGTTTCCAAAAAGACTCGTTCACTTCCTGGAGTAGTAATGCGGTAAAACCGATGTCGTAGTTGATGTTTGTCTCCATGATAACAAACGGAGCAAAGATCGTAATTTCCACATTCGGCACATTTCCAACGGATACCGAATATAGGTTGCTGCCTGCAAGTATCACACATGGTACCTTCATGTTTAACACCTGTGGGAGCGCTATCTAGGATTCTCAAATCATATTGGCCTGAGCAACGATAATTTGCAGCTGTTCCATTATCCCAAACTACAACGACTTCGTCTGGAGATTCGAAATTTCTTACTGTACCAACATGACCTTCACCTCCATCCTTAAAACATACAATAATTGTAAAAAAAGAAATATAATAAGAAAGTTTGTTATAAAAAAATTAGCTCTATTAACCAATGTGCTTCTGCTTACAATAAAAATAAAGAAAAAAGCCTGTGCCACTGAAATGCAGAAAAAAACTGTACCTTATGGGCATTGCAGTTTTTGTCCTTAAAAGGTGGACAGGAAAACAAAGTATTCATGCTGTTTATGCTAGGTTTCAATTAGCTTAGAACATGCTGTTCTATACAGTGCAAAGTGTGTGAGAATGCTCAGTCTGTTTCTGAATAAAAATACTAGTTCTGTTGTATATTATTTAAATTATATTTTAGTTTCTTTTAAATTAATTTTGTCTTTGTTTTATCAGATTTATTGAATTTATATATATTCATATATAAAACAAACATTATTTTCCTGGAAACTAAATGTTGTATCTATTATTAAATAATTCTTTGTGTTTTTTTTTTCCTAGAATCTATGGGTTTTTATTTAACTTAAAAATATTACAAATTGTAGGTAAATAATAAAGGATATCCTACCTAAACACAGAAAAGCTTAAAAAGACAGGTTTTACTGTACCTAAACCATATTTGTTTTTTAAATAAAACCAACTCATGCTTTGATCAATAGAGTTTTTATTAACACAATCCAAAAATAACCATTTTTATCAAAAAAATGCCTAAAATTAAATTTGATCTCAAAAATGTTCAGAAAAGATTGGAACCTACTGGACCACAGCTGACACCTGACCGATCCTAAAACTATTGGTTACAAAATACCTACACTAATTTTTACAAACTTATTAGTGAACTTTCATGGTACTAAAAAATCCCATCTAAATCTAAACCAAAGATTTTTCTGAATAACATCGAGAAGATCCTCTCTCGACCATTCACTGTTGGGTTATAATTTAACAGTGCTGTTCCTAAAGTGGCGCTGAGAAACAGTAACAAAACCTACACAGAACACCAGGCTAATAACATTAGTAGTAGTTGATGGGGATGACACCAAATAAAAAAAAAACACGGAGAAGAGAGCGTTGGGAAGTTTACTTACTAGTTTATCTCAGGCATCAACGTTTTTTAACAGGTAACAAAATTATTAAATTAAGTGTAAACTGAACAGTTGTTTATACTCTTTTAAAAAACTTTTAAAGGCTGAATATAAATGTAAAAATAAAATATGAGAACAGGGTGTTGTTTAAAGCAAGATATATGAAAAATATACCTTGAATATAGGCTGTAAAATAGAAGTAGGTACAAAAATAAAAAGTATTATTTATATAATCAATTGAATGTTTAATATTAAGGTATGTTTATTTTTTGAATACTTTGGGAAATAGCAATATATGTAATAAATGTGGTAATTCAATCAATAAAACGTAGTAATAATTTAAAAAGTTTTTGTTTTTAAAAGAGTCCTAACCTGCTTTCCCCATTTCCAGTCTGGTCCGCGAATGACTCGAGCACCGACTCCTTCCATTATACGAGGATTACGGGCTACACCTGGAGTAGTTCCAACAGCATTTGCAATTTCCATTTTAAAATGAAAATTTATCAAAATAACAGTTTTCCCACGAAAAACTGCGAAAATTTTACCCCCGCACTACACCACTGCACAACAGCACAAGCACAACACATCCACAAAACACCTTATTCTGACATGATGCCAAACAAGTCAACCTGTCAACGTCAATTTCTTCTTTTACTCTTAAATTGGAATCTACATAGTATAAGGCTAGCAGGCACAAATAATCAAAAATGTTTTTTTATAATAATAATCAAAATTATTTTATTTGTGCGAAAATAAAATACTACAATGTGCTAGATACTGTTTAACATACAGCTACTATTATTATTACTACTACGTTTAAGAAAAATAAATTAAATTTATAATTAGTGTTTAAATTTCAGAACACAGCCTTAAATTCAAACATAATATTTAGCAGAGCACCCTTGTTCAATTTATGTGTGTTAAAACCACACATTCAAAGAATGCATATTATTTATCCTGTAAATAACTCGCATCTTGTTCTACCCACACATTCAAGAAGTGCATATTACCTTTCCTGCAAATGGTAACTTCATATAGCCCCATATATAGTACAAGCTAAATATATTTCCTTCGACGCGTGCCGAATATCACGTAGACACCAATTCGAAAAACAATATAAAAAAGATAAAAATCAACTGAATTTCTTTTATGTATATAAAGTATACAAAGTTGGTAGGATATGTAGAGTTTGTAAACCGTGTTTGGATTTGGAACAGACTGCCTGGACTTTGGGGGGTAGGGTGGAAGAAACCCCCTTTAAGATTAAGATATTTAATTTAAAATATTCACCATTTGAGACCGTTCATTACTCGTTTACTCTTGGCCCCATTGGTTGTTCTTTTTTTCATAATATCCATTGTTTCCAGTATTTTTTCGATAAAATCGCGTCCGGAAAATCTTCTCTTCCCGACGTCATTAAAGATCATCGTATCATGTTTAATTCTATATCAACCCTTTGATAAGTTAGATTTTTCAAAATAGACAAATCTTAGACCAGTATATCTGCAGCCTTATTCATTTAATCCTAGAAGGTACATCCGAACATCAGAGGATATAATATACGTTTTAAGATCAAAAGTTATATTGTTAGAGGAGAAATCAACATAAGCTCAAACCATTGATATCGTGCTACCGATTAACTTGATATATTTGTGATGATTTAAATTTTTTTAGGAATATTATCTGAAAAAGAATATTAGGAAATTTGGAAAATTTTAAAAGGGAAGGAGAATATTGAATATATTCTCTATTTAAGGACTTTTTAGTCTATCGTTTGCAACATAACATAGAGTCGTCTCTGGTCAGGGAGATAAGCACATATATACAGACATCGACGTGTGGATCCCCGGCTGATCGTCGCGATGATGTTGGTGTTGCACAGTCAGAATCGGAGAGTATAGATTCAGTAAAAGCATAGTTAACGTGGTCGATCTTTCTGCTCAGAAGTACCGGCTACCAGGGCCGACGAGAGGGGGGGTAGCCGGGACAAATTCCCGGGGCCCGGGCTCAAGTGGGGGCCTGTCGGCGGCATAAGGGGGCCCGGCAGCACGACGTCTTTTATTTTTTTTAGAAGTTCGCCACCAGAGCACAAGAGAGAGAACCTTTTTTTTAGAAATGTGATATTGAAAGGGCTTAATTTTTTTTATAAAATTGTCGCCAGGCCCGACCTGAAAAATTGTCTGGCTTTCGGCGGCCCTGCCGGCTACGTACCTGGTTACGTCATATTATTTGTCTTGTATTTTAAATATTCATACTATTGTAGTAGTGTTTACTTATGTTTAGATTTTAATTAATATTTCTACCCCTTTCGTTTCTATCACTATATACTATTTTTATAATAGGTAAATTATAATATTTTTTTTTATAATCCAATGTCGTCAGTTTTGTTGACTGAATTAATCAATTCATAATAGTAGGCGCCATTTCTTTAAAAATATTCATGGGTAATACCTACGATAAGAGGAGAGAATTTTTGGGAACATTTTTTTTTTTTTTTTTGAAAATTTACATAATTTGTGGAAATTTTTAGTTTTGTTTATATATTCAGGGAACGTTAGAAATAAAAAAATATAAAAATAATTTCCACCAAATGTTTTGCTAGACTAATATATAAACATGGTAGGTTTTCATTAATATCGTTTTCTTTTGGTTTGTTTTTCAATATTAATGTCAAAAAAAAGAAAACGATGTTAATAAAAATCCATGTTTATTAGTCCAGTTCTTTCTATGAAATTTTAGATTCAAAATTTCTAAACTTTTTTCTCTAATTCACAAACCAATGACTGCACTATAAATATATTACCAACATTTTTATAATCGTCTGTAATTCGAGAATTCAAAAATGAAGAGAAAACTATATTCTATTTAAAAAAATCGATGACATAATGGGTCCTATGATTGAACGTTTACGTTATCCGTAACGTACATGTTAGGCTCAGTTTTAACAGTAATTAGGCAAGTTCGTATGATGAAAAACGCTTTCCAACACATTACTGTTATTTTCCGCCTGTTATGTTCTAATTTAACAGTTTTCCATCATACAAACTTGCTTCGTTACTGTTAAAATTCGACCTAACATGTACGTTATGGATAACATAAACGTTCAATCATAGGACCCAATGTCACGAAAGTGGTGACGTCATTAGTACATCCAATCGAGTCGGTCGTGTAGCAGTCTAACGCGCTTATATTCATTTATAGGCAAGTTTATGGTCCGAGACTGCCGGGCTTCGAATCCCAAGACCAGACCATGTGGATTTTTAATTAAATTGCATGGTTCGGTATAGGATTTGATGTATGCCGTATTAATAGAAATTCAATTTCTGTTGATATGACATGCAGATTATAAAATCGCCATGCATTACCGTCTCGATGATGGTGGGTGAAGTTTTCCGGGTTTTCCTCACCTGTAAGTCAAATGGCACCATCAATCATCTTTAAGTCGCCCCGGAGCGCCACGGCTTTTGGGGTTAAAATTAACTCGTAAGGGGGTGAATTAGGGAGAGTATTATTATTATTAATTGCAGCGTAAAACGTGCGGTTGAAAATAAAAATTGGCCTTTAAAGCATTTTCTTAAAATACTGTTAGACAGAAAATTATCAAATTCATTTCAATCATTGACTTACGCCCGTATGCACCGTACACGTTTAATCCAGATCAAGGGTTTAGTCGCGTTTAGTGCCATTTTTAGCTATGGTACTAAACGCGATTAAACCCTTGATCTGGATTAAACGTGTACGGTGCATACGGGCATTACTAATTTTATGTGGGAATGATTTTGATAAAATTAATTTTATATTATGTTTTATTAATTTTATGAAGGATTGATTTTGTGTATCATATGATTACCAATTTTACCTGGAATTTATTCACTGTTTTACTATTTCATGTAGATATTATTTATTTTGATAAATTTATTTAAAGTGAGATAGGTTTTGGTAAAATTAATTTTTTATTTTTGTATAATTGCCTGAGGACCGATTCTACCATTGTGTTAAACGAAGTTTAAAATGACATTTTTACATTAACAATGTCACTTTAATATCCGTTTAACATAACGGTGGAATCGGCCTTTACTAATTTTATGTTGGATTTATTTTGATAAAATAAATTTTATAAGGGATTGACTTTGTTTTCTCCACAACGAGTATTTAAAGGGCGGAACCCGTAGAATGATCGCCACACCCGGAGTCTCGGTCAAAATAACGATGTTAGCAACGGAAATCTCATAGATACAAAAAGCAAATCCTATACCCATTAAACTTTATTTTTGAATATTATAAAAAGTTCCAGTCCAGATGAAATCCAAACCAAATACCATTTGTTTTAAAATCTGCCATCGTGGGTGTAAGTAAAAATTTAAATTTTACATCTTTGGAGTAGTAGCCACAATCATTTTTACATTCCCATGTTTGGAATAGTATCTAGAATCTTGTTTATTTGTGACTTTTTGACAACTTGAGATTGACAAGAAGATGACATGACCGATGATTGATGTTGCTATTTTTTTTACAGTTATAACCAAAATAAAATGTATTATATTTCAAAATTTTGTCGAATATGTGTTCAACCAAAGAACAAATTAATAGATCTTGATATTGAAGATTTTGATAAAGTGAAATTAAGTGAAAAATTGGAAGTTTGCACAAAAATGGTAAATAAAATATAACTTTAAAAGCTTGATAACTTATTGATTTTCTGTCTAGGTTGTCACCAAAGAAAGTCTTTCTACTGAAATTTGTTTGGAATGTCTGTCCAAACTTCGCACATCCTACCATTTCCTTAATATGTGCAAGAAATCAACCAAAAAATTACATGGATACTACAAAACCTTATTGTCTAAAGAGGAAAGAGATCAAGACTTGAAACGCTTTGTCAATGCAGATTTGCATGTAGAAGTCACTCCAGTAAGGACAGTAAACTTGTGTAAAGTAAATGATTTCTGTGATGACAATGAGACTCATAGTGTTAGAGAAAAACGTAAGAGAATTACAAAGGAACAACGCTGCTCTTTATTAAAACGACTACTTACAAATCCAGATCAAAATAAAAGAGATTGGGATAATGTTTCACGGAAATATAACGGAGGGCTAAAAAATATTATAAACTTTACAAAAAATTATGAATTTGGTGGAATTTTGGATAAAAATTCAAACTATGAAACAACTGCATTAGAAAAATTAAAGGCATTTTCAGTTGAGTTTTTTAGAAAAGATTTTTCTGAATTTAAAAACACAATATTATACATCATAGAAAACAAAGATAATTTATGTGAGAGTGGAGACAGTGAAGATGAAGATTTTTTTAATAATAAGCTTGAAGATGAATCAAAAGAAAATATTGTAAAATTTGAAGAAGTTATCATTGAACCTGATATAAAAATAAAAACGGAATTTGAATATGAGGAAGGAGAATGTTCTTTAGATTATACAGAAAATATTCAATGCAAAGAAGAGATAAAAGAGGAACAGGACAGCCATGAACACTTTTCTAATTCAAGTTCTCTAAATTATAGTGAATACCCAGAGGAGCCTTCATTAACAATTGAAAAAGTTAGTTCTATGGTATCTCTAAATAATTTTGTTGGTAACTATCAGCATAAACGAACATTTTCCTCAAGTAATGTGAGATGTAGAACAAGGGAAAACCCTTATATTAATCCCCTTTTAAAACAACAATTTTTATATAGAAGTTTTAGGTGTGAACAATGTAATAGGTACTTTAAGAGTCCAGGGTATTTAAAAGCACATTACTCAAAAGTCCATTAAAGTTTCAATATTGAGTCAATGGTTTTTATATATTTGTTGAAATTGTTTTCGATATACTTTAAAATTTATATTATTTTTAATAGTTATATTGTAAATATGTATAGGTAAATATACTATTTTTCATCAATCATGTATATAACCAGAGGTGGCAATTGGGTGTCAAAATGAAAAACAAGGAACTGTCAATGTAAATGGAAGGGATTGTCAACAACATAAAAAATGAGGTAAAGAGCAACCTCCAATCACCACCACTGGACATAACCATATAAGGTAAATCTAATGTTTTTGTTTTATAAACAAATTAATATAGTCAGAAAGGATTGACTTAATAGACATTTTAATGTATTAATTATAAATTAATATTTAATATATTTACTATGTAAATGTTACAAAATATTCCAATAAGAGGCATTTACACTATTAAATTATGTGTGTATAAAATCTACACAGACCATAAAGTATCGTCCCCATGTATTTATTTTTTATAAAATTAACTTCATTAAAGATTACTTTCAATTAAGGTATTAAAAAGGAGTAATATACAGGGTGGGTACTTTTTATATACCACTTCTACCTTGGTATGAAAGAAATGGTAAGAAACTTTCTTTGTGCTAGTAAAAGGTCAGAAACTGATTTAAAATAGAACAAATGTTATTAAAGTCTGAAGAGCTAGCCATACTACGTCAATGAAAAATCTTAGATTTATGAAGTATCTGAGGTTTAGTAGTCACAATATACTGGTTTAAAGTATCTAGAACAAGTGTTATTAATGTCTGAATCATTAGATTTACAAAGTCTTTCAGATTTAAGATCTCAATATACTTCACAAAATAGGTCTTCATGAAGTAAGACATTTAATGCCTAATTTCAACACATTCAGAAACAACATTTGATGACAGATTTCATATTTAATTTGAGAACTAAATATTAGAAACTTTTGAAATTCTCTATGAAATTAAAAATAAACCTTGATATAGTCTAAAAAATATGATAATCAGATAATATGCAAATGTCTCTTATTTTTACCATCTAGTTATATTTTAGATAAATCTTTGAAGGCCTAATTTTGTATTCTAAATACCAATAGATTTTATTTGTGTACAAAAAAATCAAATTATTACTACGTTTATCAAAAAAAGTAGGTAATTATAACAAATTGTGATTATTCACTTATTTAGTTTATTTAATAAAAATGTTACTGTATTCATGAAAAGGTACCTAAAAACTTTCTTTGTTTAAATAATGAATTTGTAAAAATTGTCCAAAATTGTATTTACCAACTTTATCCATGATAAAACCCAGCTATTGATTTGAGAGCAAACTGCGAACACTTTCAAAATTTCTAATTCCTTCTGAGCCTTATTTATTTTTAATTCAATTTTTGTGAAATTTTCAGGAAATACCAATAATAACAAAACTAAAACTGAAGAATCCTTGATTTTTTTGTAAACCTTAGAAAAGTATTTATTTTGATAATTTTTAAAAGAAATTAAAAAAACATTTTGTATTAAATCTATTAATTGGCTGCTTTTTGTTTTAATAAGACCTAGTAGTTTTTAAATGGGAGGGTATCCCATTTTCTTTCTTAAATGTCTCTGTAGCCTTAATTTTGCAGAAATTTAGAGCTTTCAATTTTCTTGAGACACATAACAACGCGAACTATGCCCAGTGGCGAGAGGTACGGTTTGCTCTCAATCTGTCTTTTTTATCACTGGAAAAACATTGAATATACATATTGATAAGCTTAAAAGCGACTTTTATTATTTTTAACTAAAACGGACTATTTTAAAATAAAATAATATTATTACCAAGTTATATTAATACATTCATGGATACAACAGTAGGATTTTTAATTTTCTGTTATTATTGTTTTCTTTAATGCACTCTACACTCACAACGTGAAATCTTTGAAACGGGTTCCAAAAACCGACTCGGATCGGAGAACAAGGCGTAAATACGCTTGAAATACGTAAATAAAAGCGAAAATCATATACACTGACGTTCGTAGAGCTTCATGGACTTTCGCGGGGTGAATCTGGAGCCTGCTAAAAGGTACCATTTCGGAACGCGCGACAGACGATATACGACAGCAGACGCGACGGCAAAGGAGACCAAGAATGGTCTCTTCATGTCTGAACACATGCAATTATATAAAACACATTTCGCAAGGCGCGACCAGTACAAGAGACAGAAGTCGACGACAAATAGATCGGTCTCGGGGTAGCCTTTGCTACCTGTCTCGCTTAGTCATCGCTTGTATTTCGAGGTGATTAGTCGATATTTTATAGAAATGGTAGTTGCAAAGTTCTATCCTGGGCAGTGTTGCCAGATGAAAATTTGCTGGAACAGTATGGGTGAAAAAAAAAACCGTAGATCGGAACAGTATATTTTAATACAGGGGGAAACGAAAAATAATTTTTCTACCCAAATTAGAAAGTAAAAGAATAAAAACAAATAATAAAATTTTTAATATATACTTAACGTCCGGAAAAAAAACCAATGAAAAATAATAGATCAGTCTGAATCAGATAATTCAAATAGCATGCATGTTCTTTTTATGATGCCTTATTAATTCTTGTTGCATTTTAAATAAAAACGTAATGCTTATCGTGAGGTTTTTTTTTTAAGGAGCAAACCTACAGTAGTGGATGCTTATTACGCTGTTTTTACTTCAGCAAATTTACTAGAGAAAATATTATTTGACCATTTGCTGAAGAATGAGGCAAACTTAATAAAATAAGAACAACATTTGTTAAGTTGGTGAAAACAGTAGATTTCATGCCTAAAACAGGAGAACAGAGACAAAAACAGCAACACTGATCGTTCCCTCGAATTGTCGTCTGCGATTGTCGTGTCGCCTGTCTCCTTCCCAGACAGCACACCAAATCCTTTGGATATCTACTGGACATCCCAATATCCACTGAATGTCCAGTCCACAGTGGATATCTATTTCATGAGATGTAATTTATAGACATGTCCATAAATAATAGTAATTATATAGCAAATTATTAAAAAATTACGCCATTGTGCTCGCCATTGTGGCTAATAGTACCATTCAGATATTTAAAATTATTTTTAAGGTGTATTCAATATCCCATGGACATTCACTAAATATATCAAAGTCTAGGCGCGAACGCAAACCATGGTGGATATCTACTAGATGTAATTTTTGATTTTGCCCACTAAGAAGAAAGTCATTCTTGAACCGGTTTCGTCCTTATTAGGACTAGAATTATTTCCTTTTTTAAGAATAGCTCGCCTGGCTTTTATTCCACCTAGTCTCTGAACTAGGTACCACAGCGACCTTTGATTTTGCTTACTAAGTATAGATGGCGATACCACTTGCGCTCGTTGAATATCTACTCATGCTCAACCCGCCGTAACTGAGTTCGATCGAAATTGGTATTGCAATTTGCAATCAGACTCCATTAGAGACTGGAGTCGAGAATTTCTATTTATTGCTGAAGAGTCCTAATGAGGATGACTTTCTCCTTAGTGGGCAAAATCAAAGGCAGAGTGTTGAAAATATTTTCTATCTCTGCTATTTTCTTTCGACGTTATTCAATAATCATTGGTTACTTATGAACCTCTACTAAAGGTATCCATAAAATATTTTGCTGAATATCCATATTAGATCCACTGGATATATTGGATATCCACAAAATATATTCTGTGGATATCTCTGGGATTTCTTGTATTGTCTGGGAGATACCCATTAGATATTTAGCTGGATATCCATAGGATATCTCCTATATTCTCGATATAGACGGACATTTGGATATCCATATTAGATCCACAGGATATTTCTGATTATCCTGTGGATATATTGGATATCCGCAAAAGATATTCTGTGGATATCTCTGGGATTTGGTGTGTTGTCTGGGTTGCTTCCCAAATGTACGAAGCGTAACGTAAATGCATCTGTCTCCTTTGCTGTCGCCCGTTCCGAAATGGTAACTGAACTGTTCTAATTTTCATTGACTGTAAATATGCGATTTTCCTTAGAGGTGTTTTATAAAGAAGTTTTGAAATCAAAATTCTTATAAAAGAGGAGAAAACTGCAGAACCTTATACAACCGCTTGCAAAAACGTGCATTCAAATTTATAGTACAGGATCCAAAAGTAAGGTCAACCTTCACCCATCTGTTTAATGGATGAAAGTTTTTTCGATTCAATAAAATACGGTCACGGCCATTTTTTTTTTCTTTTTTGTATACATGCAGATAAGGAAAGTATAGGAATCATGAGAAAAGTTGCTTATGATGTCATTCTCTATAATTTTGTTCCTTTACATGATTTCCCTAAAATGGACCTAATTCGAGATATTTGAGGAAAAGTCCAAATTTCGAATTTTGAAGATAACTCAAAAACGGACGAAGAACCCCAAATTTTAAACTTAAGCTTTAATCCATTCGGCGGTAAGCTGATTAAGTTTGGGCACAATCGAAGCATCTCGATAATACATTACAGGGTGTCGTTTTTTTTTAAATAAATAGTCATGACCGTATTTTCATAGGCATCCCATTTGCGGTATGTTTGTAAACATATTTTATTTAATAAAAAGAAACTTTCATCCGTTAAACAGATGGGTGAAGGTCGACCTTACTTCGGATCTTAGACCATTATGAGCCTGATAAACTTAGACGAAGTTTGGGAATGTGGTATGTCTAAATGACATACTTGAAATTACTTATTATATACAGTATACACAAGTCAAAGTTTATCATGCTCATAAAATTTAAGGAACTTTCTTGCAACTGACTGTAATCTCTTTTTGTATTAAATTTAATTTTAGAAGATTTATATTGTTATTTATTTATTTAAAGAAAAAACGGTTACAAAAAGTGGAATCTAATCACTTTTACCAATTTTTATTTCTATTTTATTGTAACTCATCTTCGATGTTTTGATGATTAAATATATTGTTAAAGTTGTTATATAGTTATTATGGTAAATATAAACCATTTAATGGTTTGTTTATATTTAATTCTCTTAAATCAAATTAGTTTCACATCAGTAGTGATTTTAAAGGAATAAACTCTAGATCAATCTCTTTACCAACCTAAATTTCTGGTATGAAAAATATTGTCATTTGGCATCATTTTTTTACAAAAAAATACTAATCAATATCTTTAATGTTTAATCATATTAAGAAAAATAATCTTTTTAACGATAAGCAATTCTATACAATTAAAATTCATAAAAATATCGTTTTTTTACAAAAAAGTACTTGTTTTAATTTTACAAATTGGTGGTTTTTTATTATTAGGATGGGTTCTACAATAGGCTGTAAATATAATCCTAGTTTAAACTGCGAACCTCGTTGTGGTTACTGTTAAAGATAGCTTTAAAAATTACATTTGTATGCTGAGTATAACTAGTTAAAAATTAAACTCCTATTAGCTAAGAAGTTTAATTTTTAACTGGTTATATTTGTTGCATTTGAATATCCACATATCGGATGCATCTGAGATTTTACATAGATACAAATGTCATTTTCAAAACTATGTTTAACAATAACCGATGATTATACAACGAGGTTCACAGTTTAAAATAAAATTACATTTTAACTGGCCTTTGGGGACTATAATTTTATATGGTTGCAAAACTACTAAACTGGCATAATTTTTATACCAGAAAATAATGGTATTATACATTGCATGAAACATAATGAATGGCCAATATGTTTAGTTACTACTTTTGCTCTAACCGTTGGCCCCTGTCATGTCATTTTTAAAAAAACTACATCAAAAAATGCGTTAAGGCCATAGTGTATACAATTTATTTATATTTTTATTCTTGCTTTACATTTTAGTCAACTTAAAGTCTATTTATTATTACTAAGGAGGTACTTTGAAGCCGTTTGTAGTACCTATTCAAATGAATATATAAGTAAAACAAATTTGGAGATTTTTCTAGTATACTCCGATCATTCGTAAGGCTGCGATTAGATTTGTACTGAATAAGTTAATTGTCGAATTTATCAAATGTAAAATTTTATTTCTATTTTAATAAACATGTGTTCTAAATTTGTAATTGTTTATACTCACCTATCCATACAACTTTTGCCATTTATAATCGCAGAATTAAATTTTCCACCAAATTTTAAAAATGACTCCAATCTAATTACAATAAAATCCACAAGGTGGCGCATGTTTTATTTATGGCGGATCAATAGAAGTAGATCATCGATTATCTGATTGATAGTATCAATTCGTATATCGATTGGCGGAAGGGAAGGGTTGGTACATCTTGAGGGGTTGCGACATAGGATATATTCCATCTAAAACACGTGAAGTCGAATAATGGATTAAATATAAAAAAAACTGACCATTTTATGTAGAAAACCATGAAAATTTCAGTTTTAAAAAACCGCCTATGCATTTTTCTTGCAATTGCAGGCGTTAATTAATTAAAAAACTATATCTACAACAAGGTAAACATAAAATAACACATAATCTCAGCTTGTGCCGACCGCATCGGTCACGGCGAATATTTTCGCCTCTAATATATATCGATATTTAATGTTATGCTTAGAGCCGATTCCACCGTTGTATTAAACGAAGTTTAAAATGACATTTTTACATTAACAATGTCATTTTACTAAAGGCCGATTCCATCGTTGTACGAAGTTTAAATTACTAGTTGTGTCAAAAGGAGATTAAAATGACATTGTTAATGTAAAAATGTCATTTTAAACTTCGTTTAACACAAGGTGGAATCGGTCCTAAGCGAAGATTAAAATGACATTAATGTAAAATGTCATTTTAAACCTGGTTTATTTCTTAACTACTGTGAGGATCTAAACTTATTATCTTGGTATTTTATTAGGTTACGAATAGTTAACTCAATGTCCAAATGTAATGTAAAAATGTCATTTTAAACTTCGTTTAACACAACGGTGGAATCGGTCCTAAACGAAGATTAAAATGACATTTTTACATCAGTGTCATTTTAATCTTCGTTTAGTATTTTAAACTTCGTTTAACACAACGGTGGAATCGGCCCTAAGCAAAGATTAAAATGGCATTGTTAATGTAAATTTTTTTTTTTAATTTGGTGTCATCGGCATCGAAAGATACATGCTTTGTGGCATCGACTGCTAAGGCCATTAGCAGCGTGTTCTGTATAGGCTTTGTTACTGTTTTCCAGCGCCACTTTAGGAACAGCACTATTAATTAGAACCCAACAGTGATTTTAAATGTGGTTTATTTCTTAAATACTAGCGGTGGAATTGGGCCGTTAATAAACGAACGGTAAAAGAGTGATTACGTCATTCTATAAGGACCGATTCCACCGTTGTGTTAAACGCAGTTTAAAATGACATTTTTACATTAACAATGTCATTTTAATCTCCGTTTAACACAACGGTGGAATCGGTCCTTACCTCAGCTCTACAGTATCTTTTACATCGATGTAGTCTATGCAATGTAATTGTTGCTTACGATCATCATCAAAATACTTATCGAACACAACCCTTGGTCATATTGTACGATAGGGTCACGAAGAGTGATTGAATCGATCACGGGTCTTCGAAAAGATTCGTTCTTTTTGAACGGGTAACGGGACGTCCGTGAATGACACATCTCTATCTTGAATCCCAGAAATGAGGTTAGGAAGGAACGGACTTTGACAAAAAAAAATTAGAACATGGGGAAGAAAAATAAAACAACTAATCTCGGACGAAGTCTTATAAAAGACAGATTCGGAAGTAATAAAGGAAAAAAGATGGTAGCCAATAACTCAATGGTAATATAAATATTTTTAAATGTGGTCGTGTTTTATTTTTTTTTCTTTTTAGCTACATACCACAGAAATTCAGGATGGTTACGATTGGGGACGTTTGAATTTACAATCTGTAACTGAAGAATCTTCATTTCAAGAATTTCTTTCCACTGCTGAATTAGCTGGTACTGATTTTCAAGCCGAAAAATTGAACATTAAGTTTGTAAACCCTCGCTCAAATATAGGACTACTCACGAAAGACGAAATGGAAGCAGCCAAAGAGGCACATAGCAAGCATAAAACTTATCTTAAAATTCCAAGAAGGTAAGTTCCAACTTTCAACATTCATAAGGTAAGTTTGGACAGACAAGTTCCATTCACTCCTTTAAGTCCAAACGACCCTTTTAGCGTTTGGTTTAGTCGGATTAGTGACAGTTCAATATGCTTACAAGCCATTTAAAAGCACCTAAAAAACTCCGTTCCTGTTCCATTCCAGCCCCTGGTTAATCTGAACACTACTATCATCTACTATAGTTCCTTTAATAAGGAAATGACTGGATTTATAAATTTAGCTGGGTTACTTTTATTACAGACAGATAGTTTATTGTAGGGTATTTAATGTGCCACATATATTTTCTTATAATAAGGCTAATTTGGTTACCTAACTTTGAATATCATTTTTTTAAGCCAGAGTAGATCAAAATTCATGCCCAAAAATTTAAAAGACTAGTACTGGTTCCAATGTATGTTCTATTTTAACAAATGATTAATAAATATTAAAAAGTCAAGTAGTTTTTCCAAAAGAAAATCATGGTTGACTATGTTTAATGTCTTTGAAAGTTCAAAATATAACCTTTCATGCCCTAGAGTTGTTACTATCTTACAATGCGAGACATGTTACTATGGGAGACACCGCATTCTCAAAGATCACCATATTTAGCCATAAATTTCTTTTTTTATCCATTATGGAATTTTCAAAACATTCCATTGTATTAATACTGAGGGCTTCTGATATAATTGTTTACTGAACTGACTAAATTAAATCAGTAAGTTATTTTTTTTAGTTTATTTCTTTGTTATTAGTTCAGATCCAATTGAATAGCACAGGGGAAAATGATAAGAGTTACAAAAACTACTTTTCGTAGAATAAACAAAACAAAGTTTACAGATTCATTTTTAAGCTGCATTCCTTTTAATTTTAAGTCAAACACTGGCCATACCAGCAAAAATATTGGGGGTGTTAGTTTATTTTTATCAAAAATGGACTCCAGCCTATTTTCCCCTGTACTCAAATAAAAAAAAACTAACTTGACTACCATCTTGTTATTAAACTAATTTTACAGGCCCCCATGGGATGCAGAAACTTCACCGGATCAACTGGATAAAAATGAAAAAGAAGCTTTTCTAGAATGGAGAAGATCTTTAGCTCAACTACAAGAAGATCAAACCATATTGCTAACTCCTTATGAAAAAAATTTAGAATTCTGGAGACAACTTTGGAGAGTTGTAGAAAGAAGTGATGTCGTCATACAGATTGTAGATGCTAGAAATCCTTTATTATTCAGATGTGAAGATTTGGAGAAATATGTTAAAGAAGTATCAGAATCCAAATTAAATTTAATTTTGGTAAACAAAGCTGATTTTTTAAGTGACGAACAAAGGCAACATTGGGCTGATTATTTTGAAAATATAGGAGTGAAAGTTGCTTTTTTCTCAGCATATTTGGCTTCTTTAGATACTGTAGATGAAGAAGAACATGATAATGAAGAAAGTGATACTGTTGATGAAGAAGAACATGATAATGAAGAAAGTAGTGACACTGTTGATGATGAAGAAGAACATAGTGATAAAGAGTTTTCTATTAGTAGTAAAGAACTATCTGATTTTCAAATTCTTCAAGAAAGTGTAACCAATTTGGAAACTGCTGTTGAAAAAAAGGCTCAAACTTTGGATAAAATTATTGATAGAATTGAAGGAATCATGGGTAAACCTATGTTAAAAGAACCCCATTCTGTTTCTAATTCCAGTAAATTGTTTAATAGGGAAGAATTTATTGAGTTACTTAAGACTGTACATACTGGATCTAAAGTAAGTTTATAAGTTTACATTAGAAATTAAGCTTCTAATTTATTTGTTATCCTATTAGGTGACTCCTGGACTCACAACAGTTGGATTAGTGGGATATCCAAATGTAGGAAAAAGTTCTACTATTAATTCTTTACTGCAAAGTAAAAAAGTATCAGTATCTGCAACTCCTGGCAAAACTAAACACTTTCAAACACATTATTTAGGTTAGTTTAAATTAATTGATTAATGAGAAAACACCTTTGAATCTGTAACCTTTTTTTATTATCTCTAATTTTTATATTTTTCTAGATAAAGACATTATTCTATGTGACTGTCCTGGTCTAGTAATGCCTAGTTTTGTTTTTTCTAAAGCTGAAATGATCTTAAACGGAATACTTCCAATTGATCAAATGAGAGACCATATCCCTCCTACAAATTTGCTTACCAGTTTAATACCTAGACATGTTATAGAAGACAGATATGGAATAATGATTCCTAAACCCATAGAAGGAGAAGATCCTGATAGAGATCCAACTGCTGAAGAATTATTAAATGCCTATGCCTGTATGTTTTAAAACCGCATTATTTTTCATACATGATAAAATAACTGTTAATTTTTAGATAACAGAGGTTTTATGACATCAAATGGTCAACCTGACAATGCAAGAGCTGCAAGATACGTTCTAAAAGACTACATGAATGGAAAATTATTGTTTTGTTATGCTCCACCCAACATTAACCAGAAGGAGTATCATACATGGCCAGAAAGACAAAAATCAAAATTGGAAAACCAAGTGTTGCCACCTAGAGCTGTTAGAGCAGTTAAAGTAAGATCACTTTATCACTTAATAAAGTTATTCAGTAACATTGTACCTACCATTTATTATTCACATAGTAGTCTGTGAAGAGTACATAGGTTTAGTTTCGAGAAGCCAACATTTTTAATAATTATCCAAATTTAAAAACAGTATTTTTGTCTTCTTTTAGCCTTTCCATGCAACAACTGAAGATATAGATAAGATATTTTTTCATTCAAATAAACAAGGTGTCCATGCTAAAGGAATAAGAGCGATTCCTTCAGGCTCCAGTCAAAAGTAAGATATATTCTACATTATCTTGTGTACATTTCTTGTACAGTTTACTTAAGCCAAAATATAGTAGGTCACATTTACAATGTCTGTCAAAGTAAATCAGGCAAAGTTAATGAGGCTTATACATTTTAATTGGCATTGTTAAAACTAGATTTGTTATTTACTTTATAAGTTTATATAAATTTGATTTTTTTGTATCCTTTTTATAATTATGGATGGAGAAATCATTGAATATGAAATTTATTTAACAAAGTTATATTTCTTCATAATTTACAGAGAATCTTCTGAAACCAGCAGTGTAGGAGAAAAACCATGGAAACAGCATAACAAACATAAAAACAAGGGCAAGAAAGAAAAGTTAAGAAGAGTTTATGCACATCTCGACCAACATTGATAAATTAAACAAATGCAGAAATAAAAATAATCCTTATTTTGCAAAACCCAAATGGACTGAAGTAATTTATTGAATCATCATTTAGTAATAATAATGCAGAAATATCTTCAGTTTCATTGATTTAAATTGGGAATTCCGAAACTGTTTCTATGATTAAATAAGAATAATTTTTATACAGTGTGTACTTTAGTTGGCTACAAATAAAAAAAATTATGTCCTGAAAAAAATGTATTCTTCTGCATGGTCGGAAACCTAAAATGCAATCATTAGACATCAGAAATAGGTACGGAACATCAGTCTTATATTATATTTCATTTATAGGATTTGTCACAAAAGTACCTTAATTTTTGTTGAACATGTTTAATAAATCAAATTGTTCAGAATTATTAAAAACTGCGTTCAAACATGTCATATCATGAGAAATTAATAATATATGATATAGTTTGAATAGTTTCATATTTTTTTAAGGGAGCGAATTTTTTTTTTTTTTAAATAATGAATCTTAACATAATTAGATACATTATAACTACATTATTTTGATTATTTAAAGATTTTTTTAAGTATATAGGTATGAAAAACATCTAGTTTAGTGCAGCTTTCTGTTAGCTATGCTTATTTTAAGTAGTCTGATTGGATAAATGCTATTTATTTTGTAATACCTATAGTTCTCAAACTATCATTTAAAATATTGTGACTACGAGATTGTTGCATTTTGTTCTAAAAATCTATTGCTATTTGTGTAACAAAATTTCTTTAAAAATAAATATTTACTTAAGTTGTTTTGTTCATTATTGAACCAGTGAAACCTTCCTACATTTTAAATTCAACCACATTTGTGTAACCTAATAATTTTAGAAACGCTAAATTCGTGGTTTCCACCTTATGAAGACTAAGGACCTCACCGACAAACTCATAAAAGAAACAATTTTCAGGTTCGTGAAGCATTTTCGTTACTTTCGCTAAACCACGTAGAGGATCTTCACATTGCTGGCATGAGTTTTTAAGAACCATTTCAATTTAAAAATATTGTGCCCGTTACCGCTTAAGTCTTGTCCATGTAAAAATATTTGAGCGCTTGCCCATGTAAAAATATTTAGTCCTATTATCGGTTTGGCACCCAGGACTGGGCTAGCCTGATGTATTAATACAGTGCTTCTCAACAAAAGTCCCCTCCCCCTCTTTTCTTTTGAACGGTGATACTTAGACTGATGAAATTTGGAGGGGTGAAAATGAACTATTGTAAGCTTCTCTACTAGTGGTAACAGGAAACGGAATAGGCATCAATGACGTCACCAGAAAACTGAATTCAATAATATTAAATGGGACCTTATATCAAGTGACACCTCGTTTGAAATCATACTATTTTTTTTTGGATTTACGATGTTTTTGATGGTTAAAATAAGGTCCCATTTAATATTATTGGTTTCACTTGCCTGGTGACATCACCGATGCCTGTTACGTCACCTGTTACCACTAGTAGAGAAGCTTACAATAGTTCATTTTCACCCTCCAAATTTCATCAGTCTAAGTATAATCGTTCAAAAGAAAAGAGGGGGGAGGGGATTTTTGAGAAACACTGTATAATATGTTGGATGTATTTCCAAAGCATAAAATAAGTCCATAAGAAATGCATTTGCATTGTTAAAAACACTGATATTTAAAGCGCCAAAGTTAAACCAAAAATTCTGAAGATAGTTTTCCCAGCTTGAAGAAATTTAGTAAATTAAAAACTGCAATTAGATCGGCGCTTTCATTCTAGAGTTATCGTGTCGGTGCGCATATAAACAAGACCAGATGAAATTTTGTTGTGCATTTTCGGACTCGAACGATATCAACTTGAAATTTTCAGAAAAATCAAGTTCTATATAAGGGTACAAAACCTATTAATTTTGACAAAAAAAAAATACTAAAAATAAGGCGGGTGTCAAAATTTAAAAAAATTAATTGAATCAAAAATGAAAAACATGAAATTTTCAGGAAAAATCAAGCTCTATAAACCTATTAATTTTGAAAAAATTGATTAGAAATGGGGAGTTAAGGGAGAGTTGAAATAAGTTATAAAAGTAATTTTAAAAAACAGACTCCAAAATCGTACAGATGAGTTTATGAGCCCAATAAACACAGTTATTCAGCATCGTAACTGGGCCGAATGAGGCTTGTCGGATGCTGAATTCGGCCAGATATACGGGTGCAGCTACGCCGAATGTCGACAGCCCACTACATTGTAGCCGCGTTTATATATCTATATATAGTTCGGCCGGGAAGGATGCCTCCCATGCCCGGCTAGCCAGATATTCACCGCTTTCGGCCCGTAAGGGTGCCTCTCCCATGTATCGAAAGCCAGATGTGGACAACATGCGGTTTCTTCTTCTAAATTACGTCAAATGATACGGTGCTCTCATCGGCTTAGAAGCAACCCCTACAACGGCAATTCGAGTATGAATATTAACTTCTCACTTGTACAATAAAAGAAAATCGAAAAAGAAATTCCGTAACGAAAATAAACACAGCGGTGCGGCGTTGAAAGCCGTGCATCATCTAACGTCGTTTCAGTTCAACAGACTTTGGCACGGTGTGTTTGTGTGCGTGCGACTAGACGTATGCGTGCATGTAGACTAGCTGCTACCTGCTCATAACTGATTCTTTCTCTTTTAGACACAATTTCGGAAAAATTGAATTTGAAAATGAATAATGGTCCACAAGAATCCACAACAAAATATGGGACTACCATTGACGCGGTATTTTCCAGATATTTAGAGGATATCAAGTCTCAAACTTATGTTTCTTATTTCAGTTACCATAAATAACCTATAGTTTCAATGATAAAAATTCCTGAATAACCTCTACATATATTGTAAAATAATAAAAATATTTTAAACAATATTAACTTCTCATTTATTCAATAAAAGAAAAAAATTTGTTTTCTTATCGGTCACCACGCTCAAAAAGTGTAACTTGAATTAATATCAAAGAAAAAAGTTGATTATCAAAGAAAAAAAATTCTGCATAAATAATTATAATTACATAAGTTGATAAAAATTCTATGCAATAGCTTTACCGCGGCAGTCCCCGAGTGCCACACGTATTTTTTTTAACGTGCGGTAAAGAATTATTTCTGAAAAAAAAATGAAGAATTTGATGATTTTCTCATGGGCAGATCTTGACCAAATTTATATGGGACCACCCTGGAAGTATCCCCTTTCAAACAAAAAGGTAGTAAAGAAATATCGCTAAACATACATAAAAAAATGGCGAATTTAGAACCTTCTCCTTGTTAGAAGTCGGTTCAAAAAGAAATCAGAAACGATATCAACTTGAAATTTTCAGGAAGAATCAAACTATATAATAGGGGGATGGAGCTTATTGATTCTGAAAAAAAAAAATCTGATTAAAAATGGAGAGTTAAGGGGGCCAAACAACAATTTTCATGAGTTAATTCATCAATAAATATAATGTAACGTTTGTTTAATTTATTTAATAGTTTATTTATTTAAAACACTTTATTTATAATTAATTTATATAATACTTAGACTCTACAGCACTTAAATTAAAACTTCTCTATCGACAAAGTCGCGGCTATTTATATAAAAATGTAATGTCCCAGAAAGAACCAATCCTAGTAGAAGAATCTCGAAGCGTTCGCGAAGTGCTTGCCCTATGCGTCAGCGGCATACCTAGAAGTCCGGTTTCGATCATGAGTCGGGTTGCAGACTTCAAGGTCGCGCTCTAGCAGAGTCGGCTCAGGTGTTCTCATGACAATAATTTGATCTTCTCATAATTAAAGTTCAAGAATAACCTTTACTTTAGTGTAAAGCGTTATAGTTTAAACTTGTTATTGCAAACAGGCATAAAGTTTCCAGAGTTAATGTTATAATAAATAGTAAAAGTTACTGTTTTTAAATAACCCATTTTCACTAGCCACTTGTAATGAAGTCAATTTTTCCTTAATCAGTTTATTTTAATTTTTAATAAATATATACGCGCTCGAACTCTGTCCTAGGCCAATATCCTTTTGAGTAACAGCTGCGCACCGCCGATCGACATATCGATGCGCGGTGTTACTGGTCGCGACTTAAAAGGATTTGGTGAGGCACTTGATTTCCGAGAGTTTTAAGTAGAAGCCGCAATTTCAGTTAGGTCCGCCGTTGATAGATTTTTCGTATCGTATTTATTAATTAGATAGGTAAAAAACCTTGTTTCAGTTTTTATAGGAGAAACGTTTTATTTTTAGACCGCATTTAGTTTAATTTAAAAACGGATTTATCTTTTGGAAATAGGAACGTGTAATTCGTTGTTGAGTTAAAAGATATATAGTAGGATTTCATTAATAAATATTAGAATTTAGTGATTTGCAAATAGAATACCGTTGTGTGAAAGATTTAAGGAATGTAACTTTTCTTTTTGTTAGTCTCAGACCGGTAATTTAATTTGATTTAATTAATAAATATTAGAAGTTAGTTCTTTAAAAATAGAATATCGTTTCTTTAAAGGGAATTGAATTTTATTTAAATAATAAATGATAGGATTTAGTTCTTTAAAATTGTAATACCGTTGATTTAGAAATTTTTTAGTTAGGGCTGACCTAAGAAATTAAACTTTTCTTTTTGGTAGGTTAAATCGGGAATTAAATTTGATTTCATTAATAAATACTTTTGTTTAGTAAGTGCCGCGTTATAAATAAATTGGGAATATTTAGAAACGGAGTTTTCGAGGAGACGTTTTCCCTCTTTTAATAGTTTTGTTTCCTCTTTTACAGCAAATTTAAATAATCTTAAATGGTATCCTGTCCCTGTCTGAGCAGGCTCGTGATGACGATCAGCTCATTCTTGAATTAGGTGTACTATCCGCGATAGATGATTTTTTTTGTTAACGTGTGCAAACCGCAAATTTAAATAATCTTAAATAGCATCCTGTCCCTGTCTGAGCGGGCTCCGTGATGACGAATAACTCATTCTTGGATTAGGTACTATCCGCGTTAGTAGTTTTCTTCCCTTTGTTAATAGTTTTGTTTTCTCTTTCACCGCCAATTTAAATAACCTTAAATAGCATCCTGTCCCTGTCTGAGCGGGCTCGTGGTGACGATATCAGCTCATTCTTGGATTAGGTACTGATCGTTTCTTTTTTTTTGTTGTTCAGAGTTTATATTGACTATTATCGCAACGAGGGTGGGCGTTGAAATATATATATATATATATTATTCTAAATAGTTATTCACAATATATGTGTCATTGTTATCTGGCCCTATCACTAAAGAAGTTCTAATACCTTGCTTTACTTCCCCCTTAGTGAAATATTCTTTATAAGCGCAAGCGACGATTAAAGCCCGTCGCTTTGGCTACCGATTACCTGGGTCTACGTAATCTTTGACCCCTGGAATTTTTCATTTCCATCTGTAGCTACTCGAGTACTTTTGACGCCGCTTCGAGGAGTTTGTGGAGTAAACCACAATAAATAATCTGACGCCCGAGAGCCGCCCGTAATCAGCGCCATTCGTAAGGGAACGTTTTCTCTGTGGCGAGAAAACCCCTTACATACTGCTGGCCTGATTCCGAAAAAGAAACGTATATAAAAACACAGATCAGACATCCAAGGAATCAAAGATGGTTTGTACTAAGTGAAAATTATATATTGCAATTATTTAGATAATTTTAGAATTAATTTCATTATACAGGTCCTTTGAAATTTGTCATATTTGGAAAGGTGGCCCAGTGTGACAAGCAACTGGGTAATTTTATATAGGCCTTTTAGTGGTACAGCGACACTTTTTCAGATTTTAGAAGAAACCATGTGAATGTTTAATTAATTTGCATGGTTCGTTGTAGGAATTGATGGGTGCCGTATTAACCAGCAATTTAATTTGTGTGGATATGGCATTCAATTACAAATTGCAGTGAGTTACCGGTTCGTTGATGGTAAGTGGGGTTTTCCTCACTTGTAAACCAAATGGTACCATCAATAAGTCGCTCTGGCAAATAATACTCTATTCTCCGCACAAGTTCAATCTGATTATAGGGAGAGTATCATTATTGTTACATATTTTGTAACTATTTTTTTTTAATACCAAATTCATTCTTTTTTTTTAAGTCATAAGCTTACAAAAATTAGGACTTTTAACTAGCCGTAGGATTTAAGTGGGCCCTTGGATATATTTGGGGTACAATAATATATCCAAAATGTATAACAACTGAAAGCCATTTCTCATAAGAAAAGAGTGGGGTCCTTAAACTTAATTTTGTATTTGCTTAATTTTTTGGGAAGTGTTTGAATATTTTAGTGGATAGTTTGTTTGTGGCTGGGTTATTTATTTACTTTTATCCAAAATAATAGAGCATTTTCTTTGTTAACTTCAATTCAATACTAGAAAAAGTTGGGACTAAAATTAATAGCAATTTATTGAATACAAAAAATATACCACCCAATAAAATTAATATAATGTATTTAAAAATATATTTTTATTTTTGAACAGCCTTGTTAATATATATTACAAAGTATTTTTTGAAGACTTAAATAGCACTATATCATACTTAAAAATAAATAATGCATGCCTTATTGACAATATTTTATTCTTAATTAAAGACAATACTGTGTAAAATTGATCTCTGGCTTTTTTCTTCAAAATTGTGCAAAACTTCCTCTATTTCGTTGTCTAGATCTTCAGTTTTTGCTAACTAAAAAAAAGTAATTCCTTGATAATAGTACAGTGGACTTTAATTCAATAAATTACAAGCTTATTAAATAAAGACATATTTAGAATTAAATAAACATTTATACAAAAAATTATTTTCATACCATCATACACATGTCACTAATTAAAAATGCTCCTATAGTTGCTTCTTCTAAGTTGTCCTGAATATCAATATTGATCACATGCACTATTGCATTGTCCAATGGTGACTTATTATCCATATATTCTACCACAGCATCATATACCCTTTCTTCGCAGGTAATCAAAATATCAAATTTTTCATTGGTTTCCTGAAATTTTTCTGGATGGCTTTTTATTCGTCTGTTCCTGTCAAGCGTATGAAGCAAACCATTTTGTGTATATCTAGTTAAGTTTAAGGAATTTTTTTGTTTTATTTTAATGTTGGTCTATTTCTAACCAGATTTATTTACCAATGCTGGTGAATACAAAGGTATGGATCTGTAGCAACCCTAACACCTATAGACTTAGGTCCTATGGATTTAAATATCTGTTGAAGGACATCATAATCTTTAATATATTATTAATTTAATTATGGGGCATTATAAACTATTTCGCCAGATATTACCAAACTAAAAACTACCAACAGATATTGAAATACCAAATTTAACCTGATAAAATCGTCACTGGAAATACAAAAGAAGCATAACTCTATTTTACAGGAGACTCAATTGATCTTTTGGTGTAAAGTGCTTTGCTACGCTACTGTCCACATATTTGCCATATTATGTAAACTATAAGGGGAGAGATACACCCCTTTGTCACATTATAGATATCTACTGTAACAGATTTGTGGTGGTCTTAAGTCAAATTGGGTATTTTTCGCCTTCGGCCTTGCCTTTCCAGCGACGAATTGATGCAAGGTAAGAAATCAACCAGTTAAATAACTTTATAGAAAGGATACAATGATTTGTCTTTTTGTTGCAAATCAAGATAAATGTCTTCATATGAAGTACCAAATTCATAAACATTAGGTTTATCGAATGCAGATCCAGGGATTTTAACTTTATCCCCTGTTCCATATGATTTTACATCAAATCCTTTCTTTGCCAAAAAGGCATGAGCTTCCATACTACGATTCATATTGCTAGAGCATATTACTGCTATTCGTAAATCGCTAACTAATGACATTTTTATAGTGTATATTCCTTAATAAAACGGAAAAATTAGTTTATAGGTATAATATTAGTTATAAAAACATTACGCCCTAGGCCTAATTAACAAAATCCAAATTATAAATATTAAATTTAAATACAAATAACTATATTCTTAATGAACTTGTTTTTTGTTTTTAAAAATGTAATTCCTATAATTTAGTTTTTTGAAATTTTATAAACTGTATAAAAATTAAAAAAATGATGAGAAATGTTGATGCCAGCGCTTTGACAGTTTGACTTTGACAAGATAAGCTGACTTATGACATTTAACATTAAATGTTTTATTGCCAGGGCATTTTTTTGTGATCTCTAAAGGATCCCCACACAACGAGATTTTTGTCGGTCCAAGAATCCAGAGCTTCTTCAAACCGGTATCATTATTATCGTGCAAGTAGCGACGATATCTCATGCCATAATATTTTATTAACCCGTGTACATCACGTACACAGCTGTACAGTTGTGCAAATGACTCAGCATCAATAATTCGCGGACTAAGGACCGATTCCACCGTTGTGTTAAACGAAGTTTAAAATTACATTTTTACATTAACAATGTCATTTTAATCTCCGTTTAACACAACGGTGGAATCGACCCTAACTATAGTATTTATTGATTTATTTTATTTTTAAATTTTATGGTATTCGTGTATTAGCCAATGAGCATTAAGCATTAATACAGACGTAAGTTATAAAAATTATTTATCACCAACCGTCAATAAAGCCATGCCTTACCATAACGATTTGTGGAAATAAACAAACACTTTATCTTACAGTAAAAATAAAATATTTTGTCTGCCGCTAATATTTATCAACATAGCCATGACTATCTGACATAAACAGTCTGCTGCTGATTTGTTTTGTATTCGCTATCATTTGTCTGTTTTTGTTTACTTTGTCATACTTTGTCATATGATGTTATAATATCTCCTAATTATAATTATTTGCGGTTGGCGATAAAAGTTTGCATGAACCACGCCAGAAAATCGTCTTTGTCGAACTCGCCTGTTGCTCGCTTCTCTCGCTCGGCTTATAATCTCAAACTAATTCGATAAAGAATCACTTTGCTAACATGGTACATAAATAACTATTTTTAGGGCGAGATTACAGAAAAAGCAAGTCTGCAATTTTGCAGATGGGCAAGTATGGCGAACTTACAAATACAAAGTATCAATTTTTCATATTTTAAAAAGTATCTGCAAATTCGCAATATTTATTGTGGTTTATTACCCCCAACAACACTTAAATAGCCCAAAACCATTACTAAGTTTAAAAACTCGATAATCATTAGCTTTTTTAGATTTTAAGCTGTTTTATGCGTTCGATTTTCGCCTCTACGAACGAAATGCGCATGCTCATCTGTCGCCGACAGGCTCCGCGAATAAAGCTAATAGCAACAAAAGACTTTTATATTTATATAAAAAAAAATTGACATTCTGCAGGATGTTCCAACTTCCAACCTCCTACAAAGTTACAAATGATTTGAAGACGTAAAAAGTGAAAACACGTTTCTGTAATACCAAGTTTCTTTTTTGCAACTGCAACTGATATTTGTAGAGCTTTTGTAGTCTTACCCTTAATCTACTACCTTTTACCTTCACTGACACTCAGACAACTTAGGAAAAGATCAAATAGATATTCACATTTTATAAGTTAACGAAAACATCTTAAATTAAATAAATCTAAAATAAGTGAATAAAAGTTTAAAAAAAAAAATTAAAGGTGTCCAAATTAAAATATTGTAACATTTTAATCTAAAAACTATTGATATCCAAACACTTCTACAGTTATAATTCATTAAAATTTAATAGCTATATATTTTTCATAATAAACAAAATATACAAAAGGCTGTTTAGAAACCCATAACAAATAGACAAATGTTTTTACAGAAGTTACAATTTCCAACGTCAAGTAGGTACATATGCTGCGTTTGAGAATCCACATCGGATGCATTTTTTACATCTCGAGCGTTTTTTTATCCACATCGGACACATCTGTCCCATTACATTTACGTATACTGAATCACGTGATCAAAGATTTTTTACATTTCAGATGCATCCGATGTGGATTCTCAAACGCAGCATTAGTAGGTACAAACGGCGCTGAGACCACAATTTGAAAGCTAATCATTAAAAATTGCCTTACGTCATATATCAAATATCATTTTTTAGTTCCCGCTTCTTCTGTTTGACGGCGTTGTTTGTCTTAAAGTTCCAAAACAAGATGGAAGCTGTAGCGTTGTTAAATTTACTGCAAAGTTCTCTAATAATTGTTTGGAAATAATAAATTTCGTGTAATATAACTCTTTGAAGAATCGTGTGTTCCGCAAATGTGTGAAACTACCAGTGGATTGTACAAGGAATCGCCGTTGGACGATTAGATCAATAAACAAACAAGTGTAATTGATTGTTAAATACCTCGCCTAGCTGGGGGAACGTGTTTCTATTATTTTAGTTTTTATAGGTACTAAATTCACTATTAACTGATAATTGATACAAACAACTAAGAATTTGATTTATAAGATTAATTGCTTCTGTACTTCTTTGTAATATTGGAAGAATAATTAAAACCTGTCATATCATTAAATAATTGTGATGTATTTAAATAAAGTTTATTTTCTATATTCTCCACCTTTTATTTATCTAAATATTTATTTTTTGCTTTGATAGTTGTTTGAATGACTAATTTGACAGTTACACTTCAATGCTATTTCATGTTCACATTTGTAATTCATCTTGGTGTATGTTTTATAAAAAGAAAAGATATGACAGGGCAAAGAATAGTATTATTGTGAATTACAGGAGAACCTGTTTTAGAAACCTAAAAATGGCAAACAGTGTTGTAAAAGTAACTGATATCAGAGATGAAGAAATAGATGACAGCTTACTTTTGCTTGTTGGTGAAGATGGTACTGTCACCCCAGATCAAGACACCGTGGAAACTTATTTAAGTGAGTACCTAGTGTTCCTGAAATTCTTCAGTGCTAATAACTATATTATAGGGTGTCCTGAACTAAATTTTAAAATGTCTAGGTATTATTGTAGGACTTTAACAAGAATGAAACTGAATCATGTGGGGTTTTCCGTCTCACCTTTCCAGAATTGGTATTAATATATCACCTTTCTGTCAATGAGACAATTCTTCTTTTGCTGATATGAACCACCTCATTTTTCTTGTAGCCATTATAATTCTCATCGTTCAGATTTTCTTAAAAAACTCTTCCATATTCTTTTTCCATCAAGTATTTCTATTTTATTAAGTTCATTTGATGAGAAAATATATAACTTAATTATTGAATTTTTAATTAAAGAAAATATTAAAATATAAATAAACAAAAAATTATTTGGTTTACAAAAGTCTGTGGCAACAAAAACTACATTTAGATGCCAATTCTCAAAAAAAAAAAATCTTACTATTACACTACATTAGTTGATTCTAAAAGAGTTAACAGGTTTAAATTAATGTTTTTCATTTAGGTGTAAGTTTATATGGTTAATCTTGTAGTGTCCTAATTAATGCACATATCCACTCTTCTGCATTGATCTTTAGAATTTGAATTTTATACCTGCCACATTGCCATAGGTCCATTCTTGTTTTGCCATTTGTTTTTTAACTTTTAATTTCAAGGGCAATAAAATTTGTTCCACAAAAAATCTGGAATTAAAGATTACTTCTATTTTTTCTAAAATTTTCCTTGCTTTTGAAATATATATTTGACAGCATCTCTAATGACTCAAATTTGCTTTTACCTAGATTTGAAATATCACTATAGGTATACCTAACCCTGGCAACTGTGTAACAATTCTGTAACAATGAGTTGGAACAGCAATGGTGCTGACATGCACATTAATATGACACTAAACTACAAGAATTCCCAATCCGAAAAATATTTTAAATTAAAAAAATATTTAAATATCTACTAAAATAGGTTATTCTTTATTTTACTTTGTTTTTTTTTTTTGGTCACACTGAATTTTAGTTCATATCTAGATAAACCCTATATTCTTATATCTTAATCTAGTTTATATATTTTGACATTTTACTGAAATTGACTGACATATGTTATTTTTAGAACAAAGAAATGGACCTACAAATTTACAAATTATGAAATTTAATCGATCTGAAAAACAGGGTATTGACATCACTGTTGATAATGTAACATACATACCTGATGCAGTGACTGAAGGTATGTAAAAAATCTCTTTAAAAATATTTTCTGTTTTTAAATATACAGAATATAATTACACTAATAAAATTTAATATCTCAAAAGTACAGAATATGTATATAGTTTTTTTTTTTTTTTTAGAAGTTGTCAGGTGTGATATGGACGAAGTAGCAAGGAATTTGTACAACTTTAGGTTAGATCATGATTACACACCTTTAACATCTCCTAGAAGAATAGTCATAACAGACGATGAAGATGATGAATTGGTCAGAACACTCAGGATTCTGGATGGTCCAGATACAGATGTCATATCAATGGATCTTTCTGAACCTCCTCCTTTGATAATGACCAGCACACCAAAACCCAAACAACTTCCTAAAATTAAATTGATACAGAGTATAACTCTAACACCACCTAATTTAAGTAATAATGTTGTATCTTCACCTCAGTTAAAACCTGAGGTAATACCATCTTCTGCAGATCCAGCTGAAGTTGAAAAAGATCCTGAAATGCCTGCTTTAGAACCTATAAAGTCAGAGGTGCAGAAAATTAAGGAACTTTCTCTTACAAAAATTGTACCAAGCAGAGCAAAAATGAAAACAGTTAAACCCCAAAAATTGTTTAAGAATAAAGTGCTAAAAAATAAAAAGCAAGTGAAAGAAAAAGAAGTGGTGGAAGAAGAGGACAAAGACAGTCAGGATGATGAAGATGATTATGTAGGGGATGATATAAACATATCAATGGATGATGATGACACTGATGATTCAGATTTTGTCATAGAAGATGAAGTGAAAACAAAAATTTCTCAGAAAAGGCCTTCCCACAAGTTATCAAAATCAAAACTTAAACCCTCGAGAAGTCCAAAAAGGAAGAGCAAAGAAATAAGAGAAGAGCCTAAGAAAGAGTTACCTTCAGAAGATGTTAAAAAGCAGAAACCTCAAGAGAAGAAAGAAGAATTAAAATCTGAAGAAAAACAGACTGAAAAAGAAAAAACTGATGATCTAGATGCAAAATCTTTAGAAAAGAAACCAGTAAAAAAAGAAAAGAAGCTTCCTAAACCAATACCTAATGATTTTGCTTTATTTTCTACCCCAGATATTATCAGGAGAGTTGGTGGAAAAGAACCAACTACTCCAATCACTCCAGAACCTATCCCTATCAAACCAGCGAAAATTGGTGAGGTCCCACGAAAATCTTTGGATTTACTACAGTCGCAAATCAAAAATCGAAAAAGTATTGATGATAAAGAAAAGGAAATGGAAAAGGACAAGGATAAAAATGTAGAGCATAAAATCAAAGAAAATAAGGAAAGAAGGATTAGTGGAGGTGATTCTAAGCCTAAAAGATTGAGTTTGGATGAGAAATTAAAGCCTAAAGAGATGAAATCTGAAAGAAGAATATCAGATGCCAAGAAACTTGATAAAATTAAAGACAGCATAGATCTACATGGAGAAGATATTAGAGATACGCTTCTTAATGAGGATACTAGACCTTTCCCAATGGACACTACCCATCTAAACAGCTCTTTAGAATCTACTTTGGACACAACTGGGTTGGACTTGGATCCAGCTTTACTAGACAATCTGAACAATGATGAGATTTCTGAGGATATTCTTTATAAAGTTGCTCAATCTTTGGTTTCTAATCCTGAAATACAAAATGCTATTGATAAAGGAATAAATGATGGAGTCTTAGATCCTATGCCTGTTGATAATGTGGTGTCAGCCCCAACTGTTGTTCAACCTGTAAGTTTTTTTAAATTATTTTGAAATAAATAATATATTGACTAAGCTACCTAGGTATATTAATTACAACTACATATTTTAATATATTTTTTGTAGATAAAGATTTTTTCTTTTAAAATAATATATTGCAAGATTAATCGAAACCTGACACGTGCAGGATAGCTTTTCTAATTACAATAATTATTGTATTGTTTCTATTATTTTTTGGTCAATATAATATTAGGTAAAGAGGTGGAAGAATATTCTATTATTTCTTATAACTATGATAAATGAAGGACTTTTCTTCCACCTCCTTACTAACTCATTATAACTTGCATATCATATAATATTTTTCTATTTCTTAGTCTGCAAATAATGATGACGTTATGCAAGGTGCTACCCAAATTGTGAGGCCAGATGGAAGAGTTGTCATCATACCTCCAATTGAAAGACCTACTACAAGAAGTAGAAACAAAAAAACTGAAGAAATAAAACCAATTTTCAAGTAAGTGCATTTTCAATACTATCTGTAAGGTAAGAGGGTGGATTGCTCCACATCACTTTGGCCTTATTAGGCGCATTGTGCATTATCCAGTGGACCTGCCTCTCAACTTGTCAAAAACCTGCTAATTGTCACTGTGAGGTGTCTAAAGGCAGCCATTCTCCCAGCTCATCAATTTTCAGTACTAATAATGTTCTGTAAGGACAAATTAACAGGAAATTATATACATATAGAGTGTGTCACATGGAAAGTGACAAACTGTTACCATTAGCGTAGGTTATAGTAATTAAAGAAAAATGTTAAAGTAAAATGATTCAATGCCCTTCTTTATTAAAATGCAGATGAACATTTAGAAATTCAATGTATCTTTTAAAAAAAAGTAGGATAGATTATGTAAAATAATAATAATAATGTCTTTATTAAATAAATTTTATTATTACATTCCATTTGCACCAAGAAGGCGAAGATTAGATGAAGCTACTCTTTAACTTTTAACCTTCTTGGTTTACAAAAGAAAAAAAAATGAAAAAAATAAATAAATAATTGAAAAAAGGTAGTTAGAAATGGACAAAACCATTAAAAAAGATGTTGTTAGGCAATAGTAATTAAGCGAAAAATATAAAATATAATTTAAATTAAATGTTCAGAAAACAATTATTTATTGCCTGTTAAGGAGAATATTTTTAGTAGTTGTTAATTGAAGGAAGATACTTAACTAAATTATAAGTAAAAGAACGCTCAAACAGTGCATAATATCTTTGAAGTTATATTTTAATATGGTCTTTGAATCTAATTGATTGGTCTATGATTAATCTTAGATTTTTGGCTTTCCCAGAAAAATGTATTCTAACTCCACCCAACTCGAGCCTTAATGAACCTTCACATATATTTATTTTGGCTTTACTACAACATAAGATTGCTGTGATTTTAGATGGATTCACTGTTAAGTTATATTCTCTGTAAAATTGAAAAATTACATCTAAATCCATATTTATATTGTTATTGGTATTAGGAATATCTGCAGGTTCAAAACAATGAACAATCTGTCTGTCATCAGCATACAATTGTATTTCACTATTTCTAACAACTTTTGACAACTCTGAAGTATATATCATCACTGAACTAGCGCATTCAAGTAAAATTGTATTTTCTGCAAACAGTTATCAGATTTATGAAGACACTAATAAAATAGTCATTGATATCATTAGGGTCACGTAAATTGAAAGGTAACTCTTTATTAGCGGTAGAACATTTAATATTCATGTTACTTAAACCCTGCCATCTGATGTGTCCAACACATAACTTTCCTGTCTAGTTATTTACAGACAGGCCTTTTTTTATCACCCCTGTAAACGTTTGAAGGATGAACTAAATACAGTTGGAACCGTATGGAAAACTTTTTTATTATTGGTTTTGTGAAAAAATCTATTCTTGATAAAAAGTTCTGCATAGTCCAAAACTTTAAATGCAACCACCAGATATTTATTTTTTAAAGCCGTATACGAGGTTTATCAAAAAATATGATTTTTACTGAAGAGTAAAGTACCTTTATTTTTGGCAAACCTAATAAACCCCTCCTTAATTTGTGAAGTTTTAAAATACTTTAGTTATAATTAAAAAAAAAATTATACAGGGTGAACTTTTTAATAAAGAAAGGACATTGGCACTTTTTATATAACATTCCTCTTAAGTATAATTTATAACCACCGTAACGAAACTTAACGTCGTAGAAACTTAACATAAGATACACAAAATAAGTTTATTTATAAATGCCCGTAACGTATGAGTTGAGCATGCCTGTTGTATTTCAGAGATTATCAAATTATAGACAACTTTATGGAATAAAGAAGTGTAAACTATGTATATAACCTTGAAATAAAACCCATAAATTATAATTTTGCTATATAGAAAGAATGGGGCATGTTTAAATATTTTGAAATTTTTTTTATGAATAATAGAGTTGAAAATAAAACTACATTTTTTTAATTTTTTTTTTTATCTATTCATTTGCCGGGGTTATGAATTTTTTTAAAATTTATGACGTCACCGGGAATAGACCAATAGGAGCTAGCGCACAACGTTGCCGGCTAGAAGGTTTACGAGAAGTGATGTACGTTCGTTTGTGTACTCCTTCTTACTTTTAGACTTCTAAAACATCGTTAAACAAATATCTTTTAAATATATAATATCAAATGTTTTTTGAAAGTATTATTTCTGTTTAAACTTTTACCATATTTAAAGTTTCATTGTTTTAAAAGTCACTTAATAATTCAGAAAATGGCAAAATGGCAGCACTGTGTATGGCATCTGTCATCATAGTGTCTCGATCAAGAATTTATTTGGAATTTGAGTGTTTAATTTTGTACTTTTTATAAATATTATGACTACGAAAAAGTGTTTTGTTCCAGAATGTGATAATGATTCACATTCATCTTCAAAAATATATATTAGTGTTCCTAGAAATTTGGAAAGAAGAAAATCAACCTTCTACTAGCGATGTTTCTCGTGAACTTTTTAATAAAAATACACCGGTTTATCAAGATGTAGCAGCAATTTCTGCTAATTGTCCCCTTCAGGAAATTGAAAATGAGGCTACTATAAATTCTTAGGTGTATAACCTAAAAACCCTTCTGGAAGAAAATGCAGAATCTCCTGAAAGTTTTGAAGATACCGAATTTATTCATCATTTTGTGGAAGAACTAGTGATAAAGAAATAATAGAAAAATGCGGGTATTTAAACAAACTGGTTCCTGGATCCCATATAATGGCAGATAGGGGTTTCAGAATATTCAGCTACTTGAAAACATGGGATGCACTTTAGTAAAGCCACACCTAGTGTATCACAGAATGAAAAAAGTTCTCCAGAAGATGTACAATTAAGTAAAAGAATAGCATCTCTAAGAATACATGTGGAAAGAGTTATAAGAAGGGTTAGTTAATTTAACATGTTAAAACCACATTCCTGTGTGAATTTTAAGCAAGTATATTTTCTTAGTAATATCTGTATAATTGCTTGTTAACTTACAAGAACCTATTTTGTAAGAGTAAATATTAATTTAATAAACTTTTTTGTTTGTTTTTTAATTTAATTTACCTAATTATCACATTTCAGGGATTATAATGAGTTTTTAAACAGCCAATGTAATTTTTTATAAAATTTTAACTTTTCGAGCAAATCAAAGAGGAATGAGTACCTGTATATGCATAGATTTTTTTGGGACTAAAACTACCAAAACAAAGGCACCTATTTACAGCAGTTTAAAATGAAACATTTTAACAAAAACGCCTATGTCACAGTGATAAATATTAAAAACAACCAAGTTCAGTTGAATGTGGTAGCAAAGTCTATATATTCCAATAAATCGGGTAACTACATGTGGTATCACTGGTGATAAATTTAAAAATATCACAATTCTTGCCACCTTTTTCAAAAAACCAGAAAGTGTGCCTTCTTATCAATCCTTTATGAAAATGACAACAGTGATAAATGTGAAAAAAAAATTAATGTTGCTATTCGTTATTACGATAGTAAAACATGTTTGCAGTTCCGTTTATTTTTTATGAAAATCTAAGTAAAAACAACCAATGTCAAAGGGTTATAATTTTTTTTTCTGTCAAACCAAATATATCACAAAATTAAAAATTGATCATAGGTCAAGCTATAGTAATACCTTTATTGATAGTAGCTTTAAAAAAGGAGAAAGAATAATATTGACTTAAGTTATTATTATTAACATTGGTGATTTTTAATAAAAACTCTTCAATTATTGTTTACAAACAAAAATATAAAAATCTGTGAAAATTTTATTTATTAACCTTTTAATAAAAAATGAGAAAAATGAAGTAAAAAACAATTTATTTACAAATAAAAAATATATATACAAATCCTAAGAATATAAAAGTACTGATTTATTTTCATGTAGTGGATGAGGAGGTTTCTTTAACAATCTAGCCAAGTGTACATCAATATTTACGCATTTTGATAAATTAGAGCCTTTCCAATAACACTGAGTAGATGTTACAGATGGTTCCTCACTTCTTCTATGAAGCCACATGTTTACAACCACCTGAAAAAAATAAAAGGGTTAGATATGCAGTTACAGAATAACTATATAACCAGCTACAAAATGCCTTATTTTATGTAACAAGCTTTACTAGCTCTGAACGAATCCACTAAAGAACCTCGGATTTTCAAAACTTAAAAAAAAAACAATCTCACCACATTTTCACATTTTTGAAATATAGAGCTTTTCGAAAAAAACTGCTATTTTTAAAAGTACAATTTTAGGCTATTGAGTATTATAAAATAAAAAATTACGGGATGGTTTGTTAGCTTCAAATGAATCCAGCAAAGCACCCCAGTTTTTTTTCAAACCACACCACGTTTTTTGGCTCCTACAATATTATAAAATATTCGAAATTTGGCATTTTTAAAAAAATTCGCAATTCCTTGCTGACTTCAAAGTTTTTTTTCTGAAAACAAATATACTTACCACATTTTTAGGATTTTAAAACAGCCTAAATATGTGTCATAAGTAGTTGTTTTTATATATAATAAAAACAAATTAAAAAACTGAAGTGTACTGCTGACTTTGTTCCAACAAAGCACCCTGTATTATTTAAAAATAGCAATTTTTTAGTAAAGTTTTACAATATTTCAAGAGTCTAAAAATGGGGTGTGGTTTTTAGAAAAAAGCTTTAAAAAACCGAATTGCTCTGCTGGCTTCTTTCGAAGGTTAGAAGCACCATGTATTTTTTAAAAATATAATATTTCAAGTGCATAAATATATATGGTGTGTTGCTGTTTTTACAGAAAAAACTTTATAAAACAGAGGTGCTTTGCTGACCTCGTTCGAAGCTATCAGAGCATTTTAAGTTTTGCAAAAAACGAGGAGCATAAAATTTTTGAAAAGGGTATAAAAATAGCCTAAAAATATGGCATATTTTTTAACTCAAAATTTCATAGGTGCTCTGCAGCATTCTTTGGTATCATAATTATTACT